TATGAGATATCAACTATAAATTCGAAATTCACTTATATAAGCTATCATCTATCAACTATAATTTTTTGCTAAATTACTAAATCACAATTGTGAATTTTGGGTTAATAGCTGCTAGTTTATCGATGATGGCTGAAAAGCTAGTTGAAATAATAAAGTATTTGATAAAATTAACTAATAACAGTTCAAATAAAAATTTCAACGAGTTTTTTTTTTAAGAAATATGTAATGAATTTTATGAGATAAGTTCGAGTTTTTGTGAAAAAAATCATTCTACCCAACTAAATATATTTAAATACAAAAAAATAAGGTAATTAAATTAATTATAATTTAGACTATGATTGGAAATTTTATTTTAATTGATTTTAACCAATCACTTATTATATTAAATATATATATACGAGACATCAATCATAAGTTACCAGCTATAAATTCGAAATTCACTTATAAGCTATCATCTACCAACTAGCTTTTTTGCTGAATTACTAAATCGTTAATCAAACAGTAGTGAATTTTGCGTTCATAGCTATTAGTTTATCGATGATGGATGAAAAGCTAGTTGAAATAATAACGTGTTTGGTAAAATTAACTAATAACAGTTCAAATAAAAATTTCAACGAGTTTTTTTTTAAGAAATATGTAATGAATTTTATGAGATAAGTTGAGTTTTTGTGAAAATAAATCATTCTAACCAAACTAGATTTATTTACATATAAAAAATACAAGGTAATTAAATTAATTAAAATTTAGATTATGATAATCGTAATTTAAATTAAATTTGATATTTAGATTTTTTTTTTATTAAAATAAAAACTAAAGAACGCCAAACAAACTATAATGTGCCCCGAGATTGTTGGCGGCGCTGTACAAAGTATATTCCAATAATTTTTTTCTTTTTAATCTGTATAGATTAACTGATAATTAAATTATAAAATCTTTTGCGTGGAGCACAGAGAGAGAGAGAGAGATTCTTGGCGTAGATTTAGATTATACGTATAGTGTAAGAGTTTGCGAGGGGCACGTATACTGTCTATATTAATAGATTCTACAGTCTTGTTACGGAACTATTCCGTTGGAGTTTACAACCGTTAGATCAACTATCCACGACAGTTACATGATAATCTAACGATTACAAATTCCGACGAAATGATTCCGTAACAGGACTGTAACATTTCCAAATAGTACTATTGCCAGCATATACAGTATATTTAAGGTGGAGTACAATTTTTCTTATTCCATTTTTCTTTAAAAATAAATTAAATAAGTTAGTACTAATTATATCAAATACGAGACCATTTATAATTCCAAGCAAAGGTTAGAGAGAAGAAAATTTCCTTTCTCATGGACGATTTCTCATCCACGGCGCCTTGGCAAGCTTGAGCTCAATCTCTAAAGATTCTTTGTATTTTGTTTAATCAATTTCGTGACCAAATTCACATTTCCCACTTCATCCTTCTTGATATGGCTAAAGGTAAAAGAAAAGCTAAGTACCGAAAGCTAGTTCTCAAAATTTCTGATGACCGCCTCTCTGCCGGAGAAGAAAGTGACTCCGGCGACTCAATCGTAGGCCAAGGAATCAGCAAACTCAAGGAAGAGCTGGTAGAAGACAACCTTGTGGAAGATAATTTCACTAAGCCCGCCGTCGAGAGCTCTAAGGTGTTACTTGGGCTAGCCGTGGCCAATCGTGAGCTTAGCAATGATAAT